TGTAATGGTTTGCATATTGCTAAATACCGATCATAAGACATCATCGCTAGAAGATAGCATTCAGTGGCTGCAAAAACTCCAAAAAAGAAATATTGTACAATGCATCCATAGACAGATATAGATTGATCTCCAGTTACAAAACTAGCCAGCATCCTGGGCAGGATGGTTGAAATGTAACAGGTCTCCAAGCAAGACAAATTAACAAGGAAGAAATACATGGGGGTATGAAGATGCTGGTCAGCTACAACCAGTGAAACAATTAGGAGATTTCCAGCAATGGACAAAGTATAGACAGGAAGAAACAATATGAGGAGGACTATTCGCAGCTCAAGGAAATTGCCAAATCCCAGAAGGATAAATTCTGTAGTAGTTGATTGATTTCCTCCCTGCTGGTGGAAAGTAAAGTGATTCTGAAATAGAAATGAAAGAATATTATTCATCTTGGTGACTACAGCCCCATCCTTTCTCTTTCCTTGAGACTTGAGTCTAATGTTTCATTATTAAACACTAAATAATAATCAGTATATGGCTCTTGATTCGTTTCCCATTTAACAATACAGATTGGGTGTCATACATTTGAATGGCTTGTCAAGCTTTCATAATTATACAAAGAGACATTATGAACCTTGACCAGAATATACGTGTCTTCTCCTCAAGCCCTGTCAGCCAGAATGAGCCATGGAATTCAGGCAGTTGATTAGGAAGGAAGGCAGATTGTGTATCCTTGACCAATGACTACAGACAATGAATTTTCCCAGCTAGAGCTGATATTGTTGCTTCTGCTCATTCAGCAGACAAATTGTATAGCACCTTTATCACTTCTGCTATTGCAGGAGAGGATTTGTTTCTGCAGGAAAGTAATTAGCACAATTTCTTGAAAATTCTGTATTTGAGAAAGACAGCCTGGCTCAGAGTTAGACACTGTAGAAGAGGCAGTAGTGGGGGCTCTGTGCCAACCCTCCTTTGCCAATGACTAGAAGCACTCTTTTAAGATCCCGTTACCTTTAAATTGTAAGTTCAGTTTTAAACTAGGAGGGTCCAACTTTCCCAGTTCCTCTGTCACAATCAGTCTTATACCAAATGGGAAGGGCAGCACTGAAAAAAAATGGGTGGGATAAAAGGGAGAACCTCAGTGGGACAGAGGAGGAAAAGGCAAGGTATTATTTTAAAAAATCAAACAAATTACAACAATTCTTTCTCTGGCATTATTTGCATGAGGTCAGAAGAAGGCTAGAAAGCCCTAGGACTTTTGAGAAAGAGAAAGACACACATTTTGGCATCAAATGTGGCATTCATAGATGAAAATGGCCCTGTTTAAAAAAAGAAACAGATGCATTCAAAACATTCTGTAGTTTAACTTAAAGTCTAATGGTTAAGGCATGAGGCTAGAAAGCAGGGGACTGTGAGTTCTTATCCTGCCTTAGGCATGAAAGTCAGCTGGGTGACTTTAGACCAGTCATTCTCTCTCAGCCCAACTCCTTACAAGGTTGTTGTGGTGAAAATAGGAGAAGGAGGGAGTATTAGGTATGTTCACCACCTTGAGTTATTTATAAAAAATAATAAAGGGATTAAAAAAATCTTTAAAAATAAGTAAAATAAAATTAAAAGTTTGTAAGTCTTAAAATTCACAGTGGGCTGAATTTTATTTGCTAACTTTTTTTAAAATTTGAAATACTATAGAGACACTATTTTCAAATGTTTAGAAAGCAAAGTAAAATACTCTTTATCTTGCCCAACCATGCCTTGCTCCCATGAACACCCTGATGTCCCAAAATAGGAATCTGATCCACTTGTTCCCCCCAAAAAAGGCATCAGAGAAAAATGGAGATTGAGGGAGAGAAGAGGAGGAAGAAGAGAAAAAGGCAAACATGAAAACAAAGGGAGAAAACGAGCAGAAGTGGAAGGTTCCAAAAACCAAAAATGATGCTTTAAAAGAAAGTTGGGCTGGAGAGAGGAAGAAGGAAAAGAAAGAGTTTATCATAGAAGCATAACAACAGGGGCTTATCCAGATGCTAGGCTTTGATGTACAAAGTTCCCATTTTTTATTATACATATTAAAACTTATTTAATTAATTTATGATAGGATCTAAGAAAACTCCAGCTCGCAAGATCTAACAGATTAGTTCAGATCAAGTTCCTTTTGCAAATTTTGTATAGATCTTGGTACTGGGAAAGGAGAATTTTTACTCCCTTTGTTACCAGTTGACTCTAGAACTGTGTTACTGCTATTCCCAGTAAGGAAGCTAAGGGAATCTTTTTCAGCCTTATTGCACACAAAGATTTACACTTCAAAAATGCTTTCCTAATCAGAAATTGACTGTATAGGAATTTATGTGCTTTGAATTCTCTGCGTGGAAAAACTGGATTGCTAGAATTTTAATAGTATAATTTGTTTGATACCTTCCATTTTAAAACATCAATTTATATACTTTTAAAATTAAACAAAAAGCAGTGGAGAGGAAAACAAATGGCTCTTCCTTCATTCTGCCTTTTTAAAATTTCCTGATCTACATTGTCTGCCAAAAGCATTCCCTTCCTTCTTTCTCTCCCCTTCTCTTTCACTCTTATGCACACACAGAGAGACATGTATAATCTCAAAAGAGATGTGTGTTTGCACAAATTTGTCATTGTATCATTATGAGTGCATATTTGTAAGTGTTGATATGGATTTCAGTTCTAAAATTCTACAGTGTAAAAATAAGAGAGTTACATACAAAGAAAATATGTTAGCCAAAAAATTGTTCCCCATTGTTCATTCTTCACCAAAAAGCATGTCTTCTTAATACTGATTTAGGAAGGAAGGAAGGAAGGAAGGAAGGAAGGAAGGAAGGAAGGAAGGAAGGAAGGAAGGAAGGAAGGAAGGAAGGAAG